AGGTCTTATAGAGATCGAAATCATTGGTAATGGGGAGGGCGGCGGCTGTAGTAGTGCACCGTATCCCAACTGAATAGATTTCTACCGATTTTAAAACGATAAAGGTGTCTTAACAGGGTATTGAACTCACACTCTTCACTTCTCAAGCACACATGGCACAGTGGATAGTTAGTTAGATCCAGTGACAGGACCCAAAAGAGTGTGAGTTCAATACCCAGTTAAGGCAGTAGAGAACTTTCAGAGGGGAATTAACAGGAGATAACTAATAACTGACATCCATTAAACATGACACGTGGAACTAGAACACTCTACCCCAGTGAACGAAATAAAGAGTTCAGTTCGATATTCCAACCACCTGAAGAAGCTCGGAGCGTACAACGGCCGAAACGTAATAAATATGTCGACAAAGATGAGGATAGTAGTCCGAATAATGTAAATAGTGTACATAATACCTCATCTTAGAAATATAGACAGATACTGAAGGGCTGAAACGTTGTGATAAATATGGCGACAAAGATGAGGAAAATAGTCCGAATAATGTAAATAGTGTACATAATACCTCATCTTAGAAATATAGACAGATACTAAAGGGCCAGCAATACATTTTTGTGGGGAAAAATACTACCAGCAATACATTTTTGAAGAAAAAATATTACCAGTAATACATTTTTTAAGGAAAAATATTACCAGCAATACATTTTTGAAGAAAAAAATATTACCAGCAATACATTTTTGAAGGAAAAAATATTACCAGTAATACATTTTTTAAGGAAAAATATTACCAGCAATACATTTTTGAAGGAAAAAATATTACCAGTAAAACATTTTTTGAAGGAAAAATATTACCTTCAATATATTTTTGAAGGAAAAATATTACCAGTAATACATTTTTGAAGAAAAAAATGTTACCAGCAATATATTTTTGAAGGAAAAAATATTACCAGGAATATATTTTTGAAGGAAAAATATTACCAGCTATACATTTTTGAAGAGAAAAATATTACCAGTAATATATTTCTGAAGGAAAAACTATTGCCAGCAATATATTTTAAAAAATATTACCAGCAATAAAAATCTTGTCGGAATTAAATAACCCATTGAGTTTGATATGCCGTAAAACAAAACAAACTAAACCAAACTATATTTCTTCAGATCACTTTGCTGCATAGGATTTATTGATTTAACCTATACAGCAAAATAGAAATCTTAGATCGGTGATTTTTAGCTGTGACAGTAGCTGTTGTTTATTTTAGAACAATGTTTTGAATGCTTATTTTAACAGGTACAGATATTCACTTTAAATTTTGGCACAACACAATCTTCATGCTTTTTAATACATCTTGTGTCATGCTTAACTAAGCTGAGGAAATGTCGATAAGAAAACAAGAAAATAAATGCTGAAATGTGAAAGAACATAACGAAAAGAAAATATGACTACAAATTACATAAATAAACGTTAAAAGAAACGTAGAAATAGCGAAGCTAAAAGTTTAAATAAAGTACCGAAAATAAAACTGAACGTGTAGGAGAATATCTAAAAGAAAAAAAATAGATATAGATGTTTAAAAAAAAGAAAGTAAACAGCAGAATAAAAATATTTCATCCCCTACTTAAAAAGCAGCATTTTTTGTTCAAGTTGGAAGTAGAAAAAAAATTTATTATTTTGCCTAAAACCTTTTTTCACTAATTTTGTCTTGATATTTTTAACCGTCTATTATTGCTTTTATTTTTAACTTTGTTCTTCGTTTCTTCTCCATTTTAACAAAAGTGAATATGGCCGCCGGGTGTTGATTGAGACAGACAAAGCCGCATTGTCAAAGCGCAGAGAAGCTTAACAATATTTTGACGATACTGATTGGTCACCAGGAGCGAGGTCGGCAAAATACAATCCTATTTTTGTTTCTATTATTAACAAAACGTCATTTGATTTAACACAATCTGACATTACGGTGTGTGTGTATCTGTGTTGTTATTTTTTTTTTCCGGCGACTCTGAAAGATAACAAAAGATAACAAAAACACAAAGATAAACATTTCCTATATACTAGGGTCGTTTAAAATTTCTATGCTCCAACCAGGAGTTGGAGAAACAAAACTGTTTTTCGCTGTTTTTTCAATATAGTTCTCCTTGACACCAACACACTTGGTCCAACGATGATTAAACATTACAATCACATCACAGAAGGTGGCGTCCTTGTCTTCCAAAACTTCCTCCACAGCATATATGAACTCATCATTGTTTCCAAAATGGCGACCACGCAGGTGAGATTTGAGTTTAGAAATCAGGAAGAAGGCAGCAATAAGAGGTGGCTCCACGTTCCTCAACAGCCTCCAATCTCTCAATCAGAGGCCATGCTGCAAGATGTTGCTTGTCGCCATATCCTAGACATTATTTCCTTTGGATGCCATTCAAAACAGCTTCTTCCCGAACATCGGTACTTTGGGGAACATAACCAGCACTTCTTACGTCCTCCTCTCACGGACATGGACCAGAAAAAAAATTTGTAATTCTCTTCTCTGAATGGCTCTTGGGCCTTGAATTAAGTGAACATTTCGTATAAAAAACGAAGTAGACACTTCAAGTGACAACAAAACACGAAATTTATATATATATTTAAGACATTTTTATGTTTATACATTCTTTTTATAGATACAAATATTTAAGTAAATGCTCCAATAAACAGTATTAAACAAAATTTACCGTCCTGAATGTCCGAGAAATTTTCATAAGAATAAGCGTTCTCCGACATGATTCGAACCTCTATTCTATACAGAATCGCCATTTAACTTGATGTACACTTAAACGATCCAGCCACAGAGAATCGTCCGGTTAACAAGGTCGATTTTATTATTTTTAAACTACGATCTTCTATGATTCTCTCACGTACATTCATATCTCCGCATGGCGTAAATGTAAACAAATGACGTCACATCTATCTATCACAGTCTGTCTAAGGCTATCAATCTAACTATCACCCTGTTCATATCTATCTATCTATCTATCTATCTATCTATCTATCTATCTATCTATCTATCGCAGTCTGTCCAAGGCTATCAATCTATCTATCGCAGTCTGTCCGAAGCTATCTATGTCAGCCTGTTCATATCTATCTATCTATCTATCTATCTATCTATCTATCTATCTATCTATCTATCTATCTCAGTCTGTTCAAATCTATCTATCTATCTATCTATCTCAGACTAAAAATAGGAAATAAAAAAGAAAGAACAAAGAACATTAAAACAAGGCGAAAACAATCGTCAAGTGTTTTAAGCTCTAAGTCCAAAGGAAAAAAAAAACCCCAAAAGGAATAAAAGTAGTAAAAATACAACTACGTAAAGTGCTCAATACACTAAGTATTGCGATAACCTATATATATATATATATATATATATATATATATATATATATATATATATATATATATATATATATAAATTATATATAATACCACTATCCGTAACATCTAATTTAAAAAGAGGGTTCAATAAAGAGTAGAGCTAAATATTATTTATTATAGGAGATCAAAACAAAAACATATTAAAAATCGCTACACAGTAACAATCGTGTTTAGACACGACAAATGTGTCTCCTTGGGCGATGGTAAATTGATGGTGAGTTAAATAATTTCAAAGCAGAATACTTCCTCTTTTTGAAGGAGAAAAGGAAGGGAGGAAAAAATTAAAATGAGGCATGGGTTCACTGAGATTAACCAATCAAGTGTGAGGCCTACGCTAAAGTCCAAACCAACTGAAAATGTTTATAATATATATATATATATATATATATATATATATATATATATATATAGGTAAGATTAGAACAAATGAGGTATAATACCACTATCCGTAACATCTAATTTAAAAGAGGGTTCAATAAAGAGTAGAGCTAAATATTATTTATTATAGGAGATCAAAACAAAACATATTAAAAAATCACACAGTAACAATCGTGTTTAGACACGACAAATGTGTCTCCTTAGGCGATGGTAAATTGATGGTGAGTTAACGAGTAATTTATAAAGCAGAATACTTCCTCTTTTTGAAGGAGAGGAAAAAAAAAAATTAAAATGAGGCTTGTGGGTTCACCGAGATTAACCAATCAAGTGTGAGGCCTACGCTAAAAGTCCAAACCAACTGAAAATGTTTATAATATATATATATATATATATATATATATATATATATATAGGTAAAGATTAGAACAAATGAGGTATAATACCACTATCCGTAACATCTAATTTAAAAGAGGGTTCAATAAAGAGTAGAGCTAAATATTATTTATTATAGGAGATCAAAACAAAAACATATTAAAAATCGCTACACAGTAACAATCGTGTTTAGACACGACAAATGTGTCTCCTTGGGCGATGGTAAATTGATGGTGAGTTAACGAGTAATTTCAAAGCAGAATACTTCCTCTTTTTTGAAGGAGAAAAGGAAGAGGAAAAAAAAATTAAAATGAGGCTTGTGGGTTCACCGAGATTAACCAATCAAGTGTGAGGCCTACGCTAAAGTCCAAACCAACTGAAAATGTTTATAATATATATATATATATATATATATATATATATATATATTGTTTTCTACGTGTGAATTAGTCTATCGATAGGATTGTGTGCTGAATGTTCTTGGCTCATCTCATATTCTCAAAATTGAGAATTGTTTCAATCATTGGTTGCATTGAGAACTTTTCAGAACACTCATAGATAGGGTAAGCGAAGTCAATTAGAAAAATTTCGTTTTGAAGTTAGGAAACCCGATGCTATCAAGCGGAAAATTAATGAAATATTGGTTGTGAGGGAAATGTCATAAGGTGTGAAGTGTTTACTCAGATGGACTAATGTTAAAGTTGCCCTGTTTTACTAGTATCTGTACTTATGGGAATTTCATTTGTAAACTTTGAGGACTTTGCATGATTGGATAGAGGCGAGAGCTTCTCTATGTGTGGGCAGGTCGGAAGCGGGAAATTAACTAGGACAAGACAATCAATAGGCTGCTTTAGGCACCAAGAATGCAATAGATAGATAGATAGATAGATAGATAGATAGATAGACTGACATAAATAGCTTTGGACAGACTGAGATAAATAGAGAGATAGTTTGGACTGACTGATAGATAGAGAGATATGAACAGAATGAAAGATAGATAGATAGATAGATATGAACAGGCAGACATAAATAACTTTGGACAGACTGAGATAAATAGAAAGATAGCTTTGGACAGACTGATAGATAGATAGAGAGTTATGAACAGAATGAAAGATAGATCGATAGACAGACAGACAGATAGATAGATAAATAGATAGATAGATTTAGACAGAATGACATAGATAGATAGCTTTTGACAGGTACCGAAAATGAGATCTCACTTTAATTTACCTCTATCTGCATTCTTTCTATTTAGTTTGCTCAGGCAATAAAATATATTGTCTGTGATTGCACATCAATGTGTGTATATTCATTCTTAGTAGAAGACATTATAGAAGGTACTATCAGCTTACATTATTATGAGTCCGATCAACCTGAATATATTCCTTTCACAATTGGCAACCTCGCAACAATTCTAAAAAATATTGATTAAATAAGCAACGATATATACAAATACTTGCGCGGTAACTGCTCCGAAGAGCTGCTTTCGCTGGTTCCCAGACTTCATGAATTTAAGCGTTCAACCAGGCTGGCATCTCGCTCTCACCCTTTTACTTTCGAAACTGTTAAATATAGCCGCCTCTTCTACTCCAATAGCTTCATGTCTCGCACTTCTCCCCTGTGGAACTCCCTCCCCTCTTTCTGTTTCCCTGATAGCTATAATCTCCAACTAATCAAATGTAATGTCAATCGACGTCTCCAGATGCCTTGATCTATCCCCTATCCTTCTCTTCATCCTTTCCTCTATCACTCCTATTTGCTCTAGCTCCAACTCTCTGTAACCCCTTGCGTGCTAGTGGCTTTCCGTCTTGCTTGGGGTGAAACGCTTAAAAAAAATATTTCAAATTCTAAGAACAGTTCAACTAATTCGTAAGCAACGAACCAACACAACAAAACAAGAAATCCAAAGTATTTTGGGGTTACTTGATAAATTCACTCCCAATAACACAAAATTCCTCTTTGATGTTCCGCCTCCCTTCAGTATGTAGGCGATCATAGCTCTTCACAGCTTCCTATACATACCATCGCTCCGAATTGCTGTTCTGCTATCCATTTCCACAAACGTGTTATTAACCGTAAATAGAACAGTGACAGACAGACAGAAAGACGACAGATAGATAGATGTGAGTTGACATGGATAGATAGATGTGAGTCGATCCAAATAGATAGATGGAGCGATAGATAGATGTGGGATGATCTAGTTCGATGGATAGCAATCAACAGACACACACACAAAAACACACACACATGCACACACACACGCATATATATATAAAAATGTCTTAAAATAATTGTCAGACTTTGTCCATTTCATAATGTGTGACGTCATTTGTTTACATTTTGATACGCATTGAACAGAAAAGAATGTATGAGAGAAAATCATGGAGAATTGCAATTTTAAAACAGTAAAATCGACCTTGTTAACCGAAACACTCCTCTGTGGCTCAATCGGTAAAAGCACGTCAGGCTATATGACAGTTCCGTATAGGATACAGGTTCGATTCCTGTCGGAGGACGCATATTTTCTATGAAAATGTCTAGGACCTTCAAGCCGGTAAATGTTGTTAATACTGTTTATTATAAACAGAGCATTTACTTAAATGTTTTTATCTATAAAAGAACGTATAAACATAAAACGTCTTTTTATATATATATATATATATATATATATATATATATATATATATATATATATATATATATATATATATATATATATATATATATATATATATATATATATTGCGGCAAGTTTCGTTTAATAATTTAGGGAAGTTCAAATAAAAAAATAATAAGCCGTGCTAAAACTAATTGTTCCAGATCTTCTACAGGAACAAGAAAGATAAAACAATCTAATATTAATAATAAATTTCCTAATTATATTGTTTATGAAGAAATAAGATGCTTTATCAGTAATGTTAATATAATGCAAATTGAATATAATACTCTTTCAAATAACCGCAAACATATTAATTTTCTATATTATAATGAAATGCATTCTAATTAAAAACAAGACGAAAAAAATAATATATACCAACAAATACGATACGGAGGTTAGTAAAAAATTATATACTACACTAAATCCATTATCTCCAACTTAATCATTCGTAATGACTCTTACCCACCTACCAATGTGTTACAGGAAACCAACATTGTATATAAATTTAAATGTCCTCTGGGAGATTGTATCTCCAACGGAAAAACATAATATTTATATTGGCCATACTACGACCACGCTGTCTCGACGGTTGAATTTTTATTTGAATGACATGTCTAACACCTCTAAACTTTTACAACATGCTTGTCCATATTCGCAATTTAGAAACGTACATCCATACTTTCTTATGAAAATAATAAACATAAGCTACAAGTCCTTGAAGCCAACTATATTAAAACATTGAAACCACACTTTAACTTTATTAATTATGAAGTCATTAATACTGCAGAAATGTTCTAAAAGGTTTACAATAGATAGACTAAAATATCAAGGTCTATATTAATAGGTTCTCATACTATTCTTTTTTTTTTAAATCTTCACACATCATAATTAGTTATCACCCCTAGAGCGTAACATACACCAAATTGCACAAAAACTAGCGGTTCTCATTCCACATGTAAAATTATAATTTTCAGATGAACATAGCAATTTTGTTTTTGCAAATGATGCAAACTATATTTTTGTCTTAAAAACACACCCTGTGGATGATATTGTATTAATGTCGAAAGTACTCGGAATAAACAAATATGTATCAACACGATAATTTTCTCTCTTATTTTAAATACCGACCTAGAAAGCTCATCCGAGAATATGAACGGTTCCTGTTGAAAATAAGCAGACAAAACATGCCACAAGGAAAACATATATATATATATATATATATATATATATATATATATATATATATATATATATACAGAGAGAGAGAGAGAGAGAGAGAGAGAGAAGAGAGGAATAGAAAGATGTGAAGAGACATAGATAGACAGATTTGAGTCGAACAAAGATAGATAGATAAATAGATGTGAGCCGACCTAGATAGATATATAGCGATGAACGACAAAAATATATCTTCCATAGCAGTTATTATTATAACTTGTCAGTTCTGGCTTCGTGCCTAAACTGTAAAAAATGTATAATGAATTTGTGACACGTTTCACCCGGTAGGACTTCATAGGACTGGTTTTTTGTAAATAAAAATAGTGAACAACGTCAATAAACCCAGTCTGATGAAGCCTTAACGGATAAAATGCATCGCAGAAACCTCTTCCAATTTGTCATATATCTTCATGATATCAGAAAATTATGTAATGATTTATATATGGTTATCCCATATATATATATATATATATATATATATATGTCTATATTTCTGAGATGAGGTATTATGTACACTATTTACATTATTCGGACTATTGTACTAATCTGTGTCGCCATATTTATTACAACGTTTCGGCCTTTCAGTATCTGTCTATATTTCTGAGATGAGGTATTATATACACTATTTACATTATTCGGACTATTGTACTCATCTTTGTCGCCATATTTATTACAACGTTTCGGCCTTTCAGTATCTGTCTATATTTCTGAGATGAGATATTATATGCACTATTTACATTATTCGGACTATTGTCCTCATCTTTGTCGTCATATTTATTACAACGTTTTGGCCTTTCAGTATCTGTCTGATGATGATCGCCATAACGTCACAAAGAGAATCACTGAACGTATCCAAATCTGCCCGTTTTTTGTCCGAGATACAATCTCCCAAAAGTCATTTAAATTTATATACGATGTTGGTCTTTTGCAAAACAATAATTCACGGGGAAGAGTTATTCCAGATGATTAAGTTGGTTGTATTATATTTAGTATAATATATCATTAGTTTTATTTTTTTTTACTGGGATCAGTGGGGGCAATATGTTAGAACTTATGGGTTTATTTCCGGATTTTGTATTAATTTACAGAAAAACTTTACAACCATTAATTACATTAATTTTTTCTTCGTAATTAAACCCAGAAGATAATCTTGGATGAGATTGAAAGTACTTGGGAAAATAAAAGAAATAATCAAAACTACGACGTCTTTTTTAATGAGTTTAATAACAACACTAAGAAATTGGTCCCTGAATTTGAGAGCATTAAATTAAAAATAGATATTAATATGTCTACATTATTCAAGGACACACACACACACACACACACACACACACATATATATATATATATATGTATATAGTTGCATTGATAGAAAATATGTGTACATGCACGCATCCATGTATATGTGTGTGAGAAATATTATTCCGTTAGCTCTGTCACTGATATTGAGCGCTTTTCAATAAGTACTGCGCATATATACTATATAAATAATATATATAAAAATTGCATATATATATATATATATATATATATATATAGGGTGTCCATAAAGTTCGCGTGCAGTTTAAAAATTTTTTAACTTTATTTGTATTTGCGATAGAAATAATTTGTAAAAAGGATTAGAAAGAAAGAAGTAAATCTATATTTTTAAAGGTTTTATTGAAATTTTATAAAAGTTTTCACATGTCCTCCATCATTAGCAATACAAAGGGTAATACGATTTTGAAGTTCACGGTAAACATTTGCCAACTGATTTACAGTGATGCCTAAAATCACATTAGTTATTTTAGCTATATTTAAAACTAGATACATTAAATTTTGACAGATTATTTCTATCGCAAATACAAATAAAGTTATAAATTTTTTAAAGTGCACACGAACTTTATGGACACCCTGTATATCTTTATTTATAGTTATATACACACATTATATATATACATATTTCCTAATATATATATATATATATATATATATATATATATATATATATAATAGAAGTCTATGACAAAGTGGGAAAAAATTCCTCGTCTTATACGACCTCATCGGGTTAAAAAGCGATGCCTACGTTCCATTTTTTTTGTTACCAAATATCACACAGAAAGTTGAAACGCCGGAAGAACCCAAACAAATTTTTTATGGATAAGCCAACGAACAAAACACTCTCTTTACACCCTCGTTTAGCAAATTGCTTTCTCTTTCAAAGCAAAGCAATACAGCGCAAATCTAAACCATGGCCAGACATTACGGTGTGCAACCAATACTCCGAGTTTGTTGCTTTGTAAAAGGTTCCATCTCTGCTCATATAATCTTTTATTTAAATTTCTTGAAGTTTCTCCTATATATTCATTGTGGCGATCACTACAGGTGATAAAGTAAATCCCTCCTTCAAGTTTTAGCTTATCGCCATTCAATCTTGTATCATTTAAGTCTCTGCGCCTGCTTGGTCCTACGCTTTCTGAGGTGGAAGGTTTTTCTGTGAAGGTTTTTCTCGTCTGTGTCCATCCTTAAAATCTATAAATCTACCATTCGTCCTTGCATTGGATACTGTTGCCATATATGGTCTGGTGCCCTCGCTGTTCATCTCGAGGTCCTCGACGAAATCCAGAGATAGATATGCAATGTGATAGGTCCTGACCTGGAATGTCGACTCCATCACTTTCCCACAGACGCAATGTGGCATCCCTTTGTCGATTTGGATTCTTTCCAGCTACTAATTGATATTGTGACTATGTGCCATTTGTAAAGCGTTTTAGCATTAAGTATGAAACAATTCCAAGACCAAGGTTTTTCTTGTCACCAGAAACATTCTGAACAGGATCATATAGAACTGCATTATCTTTTCCCATATATTCTCTTTCGTTATGGGTTAAATATTTCAATATTTCGCGCATCAGTATTCAGATTTTCTGACATGTAAGATTTTCTTTACAAATTCTTGACAATTGTCAGTTCAGAAGATTTTTTTCCTTTTCTTATTCCCGTTAGGAGGGGCATAGTTATATCAATAATGGTAGATATTTTGGGATATATCATAGCTGCTTGGTTGAACCAAGCTGTAACATTTATCGAATTTAAGAAAATAAGCTAGTCAAACTTAATTTAATTTCCAGTATGGCCCCGTGAAAGCAAAATGAACTTAACTTCATTCTAAGCTTCTGGGATGAGAGGTTAACATTATTTACACTATTTATATTCGGACTATTTTCCTCATCTTTGTTTTTATTATCACCAGATCGCCTTCTGTCTGAATTTCTGGGATGAGGAGTTATCATTATTTACACTATTCATATTTGGACTATTGTCCTCATCTTTGTTGTTATTATCACCTAATTGCCTTCTGTCTGAATTTCTGGGATGAGGAGGTATCATTATTTACACTATTTATATTTGGACTATTGTCCTCATCTTTGTTGTTATTATCACCTAATTGCCTTCTGTCTGAATTTCTGGGATGAGGAGTTATCATTATTTACACTATTTATATTCGGACTATTGTCCTCATCTTTGTTGTTATTATCACCTGATCGCCTTCTGTCTGAATTTCTGGGATGAGTAGTTATCATTATTTACATTATTTACATACGAACTATTTTCCTCTTCTTTTTTTTTTGTTATCACAACGTTTCGGCTTTTCTCAAGTGTATATCGACCTGGGTAACCTACAGAAATTCCGAACTGAAAACTTTTTTTAATCTACGGGATTAAACTCTTCTCGTTCCACTACCTATTTCTAGCGATATAGTTTTTATTTTTACTGCTGCTCAATTATCCTCGCCCGTTTCAACTGAGTTCAAGTACACGCTGCTTGACCCAATACTTACATTTGGAGCCTAAAACCTAACCTACCAGCTGATTAGTGTTGCAACAGCTGCCTGATATATTTTTACTGCTGTTGCGTGTTATATTTTGGTAGCTTCTTCTATTGAAGATTAGATTTCATTTGTCTTTCTTTCTTTATTAACGGCTCCTATATTGTATTTATTTCTACGCTAGGTCTACTAAGGAGATCCTCATAGCTTAGCATATGAGCGGATTCCTTTCTTTTTAGACGTCTGAAATAATCAGCGGTTGTGTGGACCCTCTTGTTTTGATAACAACAACAAAGACAAGGACAATAAATAAATAATTCTTTCTTTTTATGTGCCGTGTCCCTTCAGGTCGTAGATGATCATGGCTCTCCACTTTCCCTATCTCTTGTAGCTCTCAATAAGTATTGTCCCTTTGCTACTTCCCTCAAGCCATGTTCTGTCAACCACTTGCTTAAACCCGCTAGGTATGTCATCCATTGCTTTCCCCTGTCTCTTTCCCTATGTTCGACCTGTGAGTATCATACTTTCCAACCCCTGCTTTCTCATAATGTGTCCCAGAAATTTTATTTTCCTCTTCCTGATGTTAATTATAATACTCCTTTTTGTTTGCATACTCTCCAAAACCTCATCGTTGCTCACACGCTCGGTCCATGATATCCTTAGCATCCTTCTGTAGAACCATACCTCCGTGGCCTCGAGTCTCTTCTTTTCTCATTATGTGTCCCAGAAATTTCATCTGCTTCTTCCTGATGTTAAGTATAAGCTTCCTCCTTGTTTGCATCCTCTCCAAAACCTCATCGTTGCTCACACGCTCAATCCATGATATCCTTAGCATCCTTCTTTAGAACTATAGCTCCTTCACATCGAGTCTCTTCGTCATTTTTCAGACCGTCCAACATTCGCTGCCGTAAAGGAGGACAGCTCAGTACTCTTTTCTTTATTACCAAAGAAATCCTCCTGTCTCGCAATACTCTGCTTAGTTTTTGGAATGCCTCCTTGGCCATCCCAATACGTCTTCGAATCACAGCGTCGCACTTATCGTCCTCCGTGATAACACTTCCCAGATATTTAAACTTACGCACTTGCTTGATTTTAATGTACCTGACCTACAAATCGTTCATCCTTTTACTGATGACCATGCATTCTGTCTTCTTGTAGTTTATGCTTAGTCCCTTCTTCTCCCTCTCCTTCGCTACCTTCTTTCTGTGTGCCGTGTCCTTTGATATCCTTAGCATCCTTCTGTAGAACTATACCTCTGTTGCCTGGAATTTCTGCATCTTTGAGGAAATCGTCCAACATTCGCTGCCGTAAAGAAGGGCAGATGTCAACAGTTCGTTATTCTTTTCTTTGTTACCAAAGAAATCTTCGCAATACTCCGCAAAGTTTTTGG